TACTCACTACATTACGCAGAACTCACTACACTCCATTAACCTGCCCACCCATTTACTGATTTATATGTAAAGAAGGAAATGTAAGAGTTTCATTGAGAGAATGGGTTTTCCATACCACTACCTATCATACCTTTATCGTAATCATGAACGTTTGCGGACGGACACACCGACATACCGACAAACACACAAACCGACAAACCGACACACCAAGTCTGCTTTATAAATGAGAGAGATATTGTATGAAATCATTCCATTTCGTTTTCTAGCACTCTTCCGTTCCCCCAGGGCTAAAAAAGGATGGACTGAAACTTATGGGGAGGGCAGAATTAGAATGAGAACTTCCATATGGTCACGATGCGTACGCCGAATGTATCTGGCCAAGCAACCAATGTCTGTTCACAACTTTCAGTCAAAATATCGGCCCCTTTCATGCTGACAACATTATTGGAAAATCTTACCCGCTCCAGCTCCTTTTCGAGCCATGGTCCAACCTGATTTGCCTTGTCGGCGAATACAGTACGGAGGCGCTCGTTGTCTGTAAAAACTCAGTTTCGGTACTTTTCCTCTGCTACCTTCTTTGAAAAAACTCACTTTGCTGTCTACGCAACTCGCTCTGTAGTTGCCCATCTCTTCTCGGTACTGCCTGCTGCACTTCACCCCATTTACGGCGAATATCGGCTGCTGCCAGGTCAGTGTACGGGTTGCGGAGTAGTTCACGATCGAGGTCATGAGCTTCCACAAGACGCTCAATCTCCTAGGTTGGAAAGGAATAAGTGGTAAGAGGACATATGGAGGTCACCCAGGCAGCTATCCTGAATCCCATGTTATATCTCACCTTCTCTATGGCGGATATGCTGGCAAACTCTTTATCAGCGTCTCCTAGGGTCGACTTGAATTGATCGTGGGCCGAGCAGAGTTCTTGGATCTCTCTCATTTCATGAACAATCACTAGATCAGCTAAATCTTCACGAGCACCATCCAGCCAGTTGTTGAAAGGAGCGGCTCTAAAGAAAATCGCTAATTATAGATTTCCCGTAGAAATAATATAGGGGGTCAGCATGCTGGGAACAGCAAAAACTGAAGGCGGTATTTAATCCTG